GAGGAGGGCATTATCCTCAGTGCCCACTGCACAGTGAACACAAGCTTATCCGTCTCCAAACACACGCTGTTCCTTCACATCCTGTTGCCACCTCCAATGTTCAGAAGATGTCACCACTTGCCTTACAAATAGCGAGCTGAATCACCAGTTCACACAGATGAGAAGTAACAAAAAGAGAAAAATCTTCAACCTAGAGCAATTTGGACAGCAGACGCAAACTATGCTCTGAGCAGAGAGCCAACATACTACTGAAAACAATTCCAATATGGGACCTAACTACATCTGCACCAATCCAAAAGCGGTGTCTTCCTCTTGCTCATCAACTGATTCAGGGTCAGAAATGTATTTAAAAAACTGCCCTTGAAAAAAAAAAAAAACTGCCCTTGTAACCTCATACTGTTACTAAAGCAATGTAAAAAGCTTTGCACACGTCTTTAAAACTGCATCTTCATGAAGTAACAAAAAAGGTATGCAGCAAAGACTCGGCCCATAAATTTGGAAAGTCAAATCCATGATACACAACTTCCAGTTTCACCCAAATTAACCTTATATGCCACCCAAACAGCCAAGCCTTTCCCCTTTTTTCACTGGGTTTTGACTCGGAAACGGACCTCAAGCCATGTAACAGGATTCCCTCCACCAGGGAGCAGACTGCTCCTACATGTGTTTCAATCAGCTTATTAAATACCAACTGCTAGAAATCTCAGAAATCATCCTTTTTTTCTTTTCCCTTCCTATTGTGTCAATAGTTACGTTACCAAGGCACAGGTGAGCGCTGTGCTCAGACACAGCCACTTCACTGTTTGCGCTGAATTATTTTCTTCTAACTGCTTAAGGTGGGTCACAATCAGCTGCTCTGGTCCTAGAAGATATGGTCCACAGGGACCAAAATTAGGTTCCCTGGAATATGGTTTGACCTGAAGCTACCCAGAGAGGCTTGGTAATAGTTTCATTAGCGATTTTCACCACAGAGGCTATTTACTGTAACTGGATCTGGCCTACACAATAGGACGGTTCTAGGGACCTGACAACCACAAAAACGTAACATAAGTGAACAAGTAAGGCAACCCTGAGACCCCCAATTTTCTCCCATCAGGGAAGGGAAAAGATCGAAGAGAAAGGAGTGGAGATGGAGGCCTTATTCAACGACAAGCCCGATAGGAAACTCTCCACATTCAACCGGACGGGAACATCCAAACTCAGAATCAACATCCATCTCTAACTTGCCAGTCTTCTACAGGTGCAGAACAATGTTCCCTTGGGATCAGCCTTCCTGGCTGAGGAAAAGTCATAGTGATGGTTTTCTAAAACAGCTAGCTGTACTTTCAAAAAATTCTGGCTTGTCAAGACTCACAAACTTAAACCTTCGGAGCAAATTGAAACCTTATCTGGGAGACAGTTGCAGAAGATGAATTAGAAAGCCCTTTTGGGGAATCATTTTTTTTTCTTCTGAAGAGCAAATTTGAGAGGAGTTTAAAAAAAAATAAAGGAGTTTATGACCAGAATAACCATGTTTCCATGGTCACAGATGATTTTTTTTTTCTACTGGGAGATTTTTTATTTGGTTTCAGATTAAACTTCTCCCCCAGAGAATATAAAAACTTTAAAGATTACAAATGTGTAAGAGCTGCTGTTAAATCAGAGATTCTGAGTGACACCCTTTTCTTTTCTTTTTTGCAACATCCATTAATTTGAATTTTTAACATTGGTACATCAGTTTGGGGGGAAAAGGTAGTACTGTGACATTTCAAAAACGAAGACTACTGAGATACAGTTTGACATAATGACTGGGGCTTCTTGGATTTGATAGGATTCTTTGAGAAGGAAAAAAATAACAAACCCTTGTGTTGATGTGCCTGAGCATTTCACAGTGTTTAAGGAGATATTTTAACATTAATGACTGCTAAAAAATTTCACTTAAAAAAGAAATCCAATTTCCTTCACATTTCATTTTAAAAGTAAAATTTAAAAAAAAGCATTCTTCTACACTTGAGTAGCCCTTGACGCTTGGTAGGGTCATCTATTAGCATCCAGTTTCTGCTCTTGACTCCTGGAGGAGGAATTTCACAAATGGGAAGCTTCAAATAAATGGTCATTTTCAGCTGACCCTGTGCACTAGAAAGTGTGTTCAGTTTGTGCTTCAGACTTTTTGCAGGAATACAGGACTGTGTGGACATTTCTTCCTCCCACAAAGGATTTTACATACCTAAGATCGTCACGGCACTTAAGTTGTGAACATACCGAGAGAAAGAACAAAACAAGTGGCCCACTGAATTGCTGTTTACGTGTTTCCTTATCTAAACGTCAGTGAATTTTTTTTCTCCTAAGAACGGAAAAAAGGAAACAGGATCTTTGGGAGGGGAAGAGGGCTGTGTGTTAAAAGTTTTCTCTAACAGAGTAATATGTCAGGGACCAAAAGTGGGCAAGAGGGAAAATGGAACTTCACCGTGTTTTGTCTTTTAACAGAACTTATGCTTGTAAAACATATCAGAAGGAGTGTTTGGTTATGCAAGTCATTTCTGTTGTTTTTTCCTTGTACATGTAGAAGAGAGGGGACTGGGGGCTGGAGGAAGTGTTCTCTCCACCATGGCTGGGCGTGTAACACGTTTGCATCAACTTTTCTCGGTCAGGCATGTGCTTTCGAACAAAGGAACAGTGGAGATGGGGAGAAGAGACTGAGGCTTGACACACTTTACAGATTTGGTGCTTAAACAGTACTTTACAAATGACTTGCTTAATTTAAACGTCCATCACCATAAGAGACATTGAAGTTAAATGAGAAAATAGGATCTACTTGAACCACAATCTTTTGGGTTGGTGGGGAAAAGGGGAGAGAGAACATTAACTTGAACACAAGTATCATAAGCCAAAATCAGTAACGTTGTCTCCTACAAAGGATGTGAAGTATCCACTTTCTTCAAAGATGAAGGCTGGAGACAAAGCAACGGACGGAAATGGCAAGACGGAGATCAAGGGCTTAGAAACATATGGGCCTCTTAGGTAGGTTTTTGACATGTTACAGTAATGCACCTTTTTTTTTTTTTTGAGAAAACTGTGTACATCAAATTTTAAAAACTAAACATCGAAAAGGATGTGCAAGTCTAAAAGGGCTCAACAGGGTTAGAATCCCGATTTGAACATATAAATTCACTCACTCAAGCATCACTTTGGTCTAAAGGCGAGGAGGAAGGCAGGCAGGAAAGGGACAAAAAGAGGGAGATAATTGAATTACTCAATAAAAGAGCTACTTACCAGCCCAACCCATAGTAAGACATACACTTCTGACATAAGAGAACTCCTTAGAGGTCGAATAAAGCGTGTAAGCACCTTTGAGTAAAGCACCTGCCCCAAGAGGGGGCCCGGAAGCCCAACATGGGCTTAGCGAACAGACCTTTGCTAATCTGTTTATTTCCTTGAACTGGAGTCAGGCTGCGATGGGCTGCGATTCCCAGGCGATACATTTAATTAGAACAAAACAGAACAAAACAAAAAAAAAATTTGTAAAAAGCTCACCAAACTGCTGCACTTGTGTCTCTGAATGTGGGTGGCATTTCTTTTAAAAGGCAATGTATGGTCTGTGAAGGAGAAAGGGAAAACGGGAGGTGGGAGTGGGGAGAAGGGGCCGTGGTGCCTGGCTGGGGAAGCCCTAGCTAAGACCCCAGTCTACGGGAGGGTCCTCTGCGACTCCCCAGCCCCGGGCAGCGACCGGGCAGCCATCTGTCCAGCGCCCTCTCTTCCTCTCCCCACCCCCACTCCCTCCAAGACTCTCTCCAGCCGGCTGAAACCCTGCTAACATTTCCAAATCCACTCTCTAGCCACCTCTTCCCCTGCCTACCAAGGAAGAGTGGGCGAACCCTGCACCCAAACCTTCTGCTGGCGCAGGGGAAATGGGGCCCCAACCTCGCGCTGAAACGCGCCGGGCTGGCCCCTTTATCACCCTCCAGAGAAGGGCATGGGGCGAGCCCATTTCGCACTTAATACAGGGGAGGGGGGCTCTCCCTTTCACCACTTGCCAAAGCACAAGGAAACCTCGTTTTTTTTTTCCTCCCGGAAGGGATGGCGCCCCATGATAACCCGAAAAGGGAGGGAACCCCACGAGAAAGAGGGGACCAACTTCCTCTCCAAGGAAGGGAAACCAAACCTCAACAGCTTACCCCCCCAACCCCGCGCGCCAATAAACGCATCATCACCTACCTACGAAAAGCAGGAGGACCCCTCCCTTTAAGAAATAGCTTGGGGAAGGGTCTTCGTCCCCAAAAGAGGCAGGGGCTTCCAAAGGGGCTAGAGATCACCCCACCCCCCGCAATTTTTGCCCCCTAGGGAATAGCTAGGCAACAACTCCCGCCAAAAAGTGTAAAAGAGCCCCAACCGAAAGGACCCCCCCATTAGGATGGAGAAAGAAATGAACGAACCCCCACTTTGTCTCCCACGAAAGCTAGGGTACCTCTCCAAGTAGGGCAGGGCACACCTCCCCCAGGAGAAAGGATACTGCCGGGGGCTGGGAGACCCCGCCAACTCCCTAAGAGCGGGGCTGTTGCTCCAGATCCCCCCCAAAGGGTCCGGGAGCCCCTCCCCCATTCCCTTCCCCGAAGCCAGGCGACAAGCAGGCGGGCCCGTGGCTGCCAGCTCCGGGCGCAGGGGCAGCCAGGACCCCCGTGGGCTTCCGAAGCCCCCCCCCGGCGCCCCCTCCCCAGGGCGGGCGCAGGGGGTCCGGGGGGCGCCTCCTCACCTTCCCCTCAGCATGGCGCCCAAAAAAGACAGAGCGAGAGCGAGGGAGAGCGGGCGAGCGCCGCGAGGGGGGGGAAACGCATGAGGCCAGGAGAGAAAGCAAGCGAGAAAGAGCGAGCGAGCGAGAGACACCCACCGACCCCGCCCTTCCTCCTCCTCCTCCTCCTCCGCGGCCCGGCCCAACATGGCCGCCGCCCCCCTTCCTCCTCCTCCTCCTCCTCCTCTTCTACCTCCCCCCGGGGACGCCGCCCCGGCCGGGCCGGGGGCCTGACCTGTCGTCAGGGAGCGGGAGGCGGTGGAGGAGGTGCGGGGTAGCCAGGCAGGCGTCGGGGGAACACAGAGGAGGCGAAGGCGTTGATGGCGGTGGTGGCGATGGCGGCGGCGGCGACTCTGATGGCGGCAGCGGGGGGGTCCCGGGCGCGGCCTCCATAGTTCCTTTGGGGGGGGGAGGGGATGTTAATGCACGAAAAAGGACTGCTTGGGCGTAGCGGGAGGGGCACACTTCAGCTCTTGAGGGATCCTGATCGGAATGAGTATATATTTTTTCAATTTCGGAATCACCTCTGCGCCGACCTCCGCGTAGGCCGCGCGGCCTAGGCCTCCGCGGGCCGCTCGCCGCCTGCTTACTCCGCAGCCCGCCCCGGGGTCACTCGCTCACGGGCGCGGGGCCCTCATCGGGGCGAGAGGCGCCCCCGACACACACACACACGCACCCCCGCGGGCCCGGGGGTGGGAGACCCGAGGGACACGGACACTGGTGGGTGGTTCGGTGTAATTAGCGCGGGCCGCGCGTGATGGAGCAAGCGAGGGGAAAGGGGAGAAGAGGAGAGCGAGCGAGGGCGGTTAAGAAAAAGGGGAGATTTTAAGGAGAGGAAACGGGCCGCGGAGACGGGCCGACTGTCTTGTCAGCCCGCCTAGGTGCCCCAGCTGCCCGGCCCCCGCCGCTGTCAGAAATTCACACAAAATGGCGGCCCGGCCTGGACGAGCCAGGAGGCTGAGGCGGGAGGAAAGACTAGGTGGGAGGGGGAACTGGGAGGCGGAGGCCGTGTCACGTGGAGGAGAGAGGCAGAGACAGCTCTTCCGATGAGCGGCGGAAAGAGCCGAAGGGACAGAGAGAGGCCGAGGCAAGGCGGAAAAAGCCGGAAGGGGCTGAGCTGAAGTTCGCGAGAGGCGGGAAGAGCCGAAGTTACCGATGGGGGTGGGGCTAGGGAAAGAATGGGAAGCCCCTCGGTACCGGAAATAGCCGAAGCGAATCGGGACTGGGAAATAACAAGAAATTGAGGTGATCCGGAAAGAACCGAAGGCAATGTCGAGGGTGAGTGGCAGGAGGCGGAAAGAGCCGAGCGATGCCAGGCGGCGGTAATAGGGTTTAGACCGAAAAAGCTGAAGTGTGGGGCTGGTGAAGCGATTAATGACGAGAGTAAAGACTTTGAGGAATTCGCCCGAGAGCAAGCGAGAAGAACCTAAAATTGCTAAATTTAGGGGAGGCGGGAAGAGTCGAAAGCCTTAGGTGGGGGAATGGGAGAGAAGGAATTCGGGATACGGAGAGAAAATAATAACCGAAAGCTGGAGATCGGGTGCCTGGGGTTGTAGGTTTCCGGATGATGAAGCTGAACAGGCCCGGAGATGACGTCATTAGAGACCTCTGTCGCTCTTGTTATTCTTGGGCGGTGCGGGAGGGCGGGTCTTAGTCATTCTTAGGGAGAGTTGAAGAACCTTGAGCTTAGTAGGTAGAAGATCTCAAAAGCTAGACTTGGGAACGCTGACCGGGTTCGAACAGTATAAAAACGTAAACTCTTTTGACCCGCACAACTCTTAAAAGGGGAGCTACTATTTTGCTCGTTTGATGGATGTAGACTGAACCTCAGTATCTAGCTAATTGGCTCATGGTTCTAGGATTCGCCGTAGGGAGCATAGCAAATTTTTAATCACAGCTGTCATTCCATTGCTCCCCTGCAAAAATTCTGTTCAGTGCTATTTACAAGAGAGGATCTTCGTTTTATGCTTTTATGAGCACCTTGTACAGGTCGAAGTCCTGTGATGGGCGAATGGAACATTGTTTATTCTTAATAGAGCTTAGAAACCGACAATGCCCCAGGGGAAAGAAACTGGAAGTTAAAGAGTAAATGGAAAAAAAAAGAGTAAATGAAGACTCTTATTATATTGGGGGACAAGGTTGTTTGAACTGAGACAAGAAGAGATAATTCCAGGCAGAGGAAATAGATTCTGTCAGAATCTGACAAAGCAAGGACCAGTTAGAGTCCAAGAGCAGAGAAAAGCCTTGTGGCATAAGAAAGAATCTGGAGACAGAGGCTGCCAGATCGCCTGCTATATTAATCTTACTATAAAATTTAAAAATATTCCAAACCAGGTCTGGGACACAAGATCTTCATGAGGGTAATTTGCAGCCTCCTTCAGGGGAGAAGTTAGCATTCCCGATAAAGTGACAGGATTAAGCCATTTTTTATTGAGTTTTGTTGGAATGAAACTTCTGGGAAATCAGTGGCCCACCCAGTTAAAAGTCGGCTAACTGCCAGCCAAGAATCTGCTGACCTTTAACCAGATCATCTTTTCTTCCCGGATCTAATCTGTAGTCTAAGAAGGCTACTTAACAATTCTCTTCTATAAAAAATGCTCTTACAAGAGAAAATGTTTCAATTGGCCCTCAAGAGAACTTTTTCCCTTGCATGCATGATTGTAATAAAATATTGGCACGTGCTCATGACCGACCAAGTTGTCCAAAAAATTTTGTTTAACACATGGAGAGTTAGAGCAGGGCTGTGAGAATGGAAAGGAAAAATACAGAAGTGGGTCTTTATGAAGCCATGTAACTCAGATTCAAACTTGTACCCATGGTCTTTTAACTGAGATCTCTCACCTGGCCTCAGAACTTGATAAAGCTCATTTCTTGATGTCTCATTGCAGAAGGAATTCAGTGAGAGAAAAGGGGATAGGAAAAAGTGGATTTCGATAGAAACACACTCCACAGAGTGTGGGCCATCTCAGAAGGTGAGATCAGCACCACAGTAGGGAGTTGTCAGTTTTTACAGGGGTGGATAATTTCATAGGCTAATGAATGAGAGGAGTATTCCTACTGTTTTAGGGAAGGTGCCCACTTTTTTCTTTATTTTGGTTTTGTTTTCTATTTTTGGGCTGTGCTGAGAAGCATGTGGGAGTTTAGGTCCCTGACGAGGGATCAAATCTGGGCCCCCTACGGTGGAAACAAGGTCTTAACCATTGGACCACCAGGGAAATCCCAAGATTCCCACTTTTTAACTTTTACCGTCAGCTTTGGAACTGTCATAGCACCTGTGGGTGTGTCACTTAGCTTACTGGTGTGTTACAATGGGGCTTCCCGTGTGGCACTAGCAGTAAAGAACCTGCCTGCCAATGCAGGAGACATCAGAGACGTGGGTTCGATCCCTGGGTGGGGAAGATCCCCTGGAGAAGGGAATGGCAAGCCATTCCAGTATTCTTGCCTGGAGAAGCCCATGGACAGAGGAGCCTGGTGGGCTACAGTCCATAGGATTGCAAAAAGTCGGACACGGCTGGAGCACGCGGTTGAAGTTCATTCATTCTCATTCCTGTGTAGTATTGTGGTATGTGATTAAACCAGGTATTGGTGCAAATGTGGAGCCACAGGAACTGCTGGTAGGACTGTAAATTGTCTAACCATCTATATTGTGATTTATATCAAGAAATACATGTCTGAAAAAAAAAAAAGAAATACATGTCTGGTCTTTGTCCTAGTACCTTGCACTGAGCTCCTAAAACCCTAGGAATGTCCAAAGTGATAAGAGCTATGGATAAAGGTATCTGTCGTATTCATATAAGCCCCTTTCAAACACACCTTAGTTTATGTTAATGAAGTGACTTTTGGAAAGCAGCCAAGCTAGTTGTCAGGGGAGTCAATCAGGAAATTGCACTTTTTACTCCCACTCCCCAATCCCTAGAAGAAGGGAGAGGGGCTGGAGATTAACTTAATCACCAGTGGCCAATGAGTTAACCAATTATACCTACATAGTGGGGCTTCCCAAGTGGCTCAGTGGTAAAGAATTCACCTGCCAATGCAGGAGACTCGGGTTCCATCCCCAGGTAGGGAAGATACCCTGGAGTAGGAAACAGCACCCTACTCCAGTATTCTTGCCTAGAAAAATTCCATGGACAGAGGAGCATGGTGGGCTACAGTCCATGGGGTTGCAAAGAGTCAGACACAACTTAGAGACTGAGCACAGGCACACACACACACACACACACGTTCACTTCTACATAGTGACACCTTCCTAAAAATTCCTAACCTGTGGGGTTTGGAAGAGCATGGCAAAGGATGAGATAGTTAAATAGCATCACCAACTCAATGGACTTGAGTTTGAGCAAACTCCAGGAGATAGTAGAGGACAGAGAAGCCTCTTTCTAGTAAGTAGAAACACAGGTATTCCCCTCGAGGCACTTTGAAAACTAACCCGGCAGTTATCAAATACTGGCTAGTTGATTTGGTGTAGGAACGTACTCCTACACCAAAATACAGCAATTCTAACCCCTGAGTTAAAATTCATGTTTTATCGCAAGATAAGAAAAATTTAAACCTATTTTTTTTCTCTTCCCTGTACTGTGCTTTGTTATCTGCATTAGACGTTGACCAAACCTCCCCCGGTCCACAGAAAGACCTGCTCAACCATAAAGAGAAACATTCTCTGAGCATCAACAAGACAACTCCTTAAAAGATAACATCTTCTTGATTTTGTAAGGGACCATGTGACCCACCCCTTTGGACCCCAGAGCTGAATTGTGCAAATTGTGAAGAGGGAAATTTCCCACTCCTTTATGGCATCACCAACTCAATGGACATGAGTTAGAGCAAACTCCAGGGGACAGTGAAGGACGAGAAAGCCTGGCGTGCTGCAGTCCATGGGGTTGCAAAGAGTCAGACACGACTGAGCAACTGAACAACACACTGTATCTTGGAGCATCTAGAGAACCTCCTCTTGCATGGGGCCCAGAAGCCCTAGAGTTTCCTTTGATGATGTCTCCCAACCATGATACAAATTGCCGTCAAAACTCCTAGAGGGCCTCCAAACATTTTGGCTCTCTGGTAGTAGGTGTGGGGGGAAATACAAGTTTTAGCAACTTTCCCTTTTTTGGGGGACGAAAAAAAAGAATCCATTCCAACATATCTCTTCTCTGGATCTCCAAAACATCTTTGAGCTGGCAGGTGCCTGTATTTTTCTGAGACAGAACCTTCTATACTGCGCATAAATCTGTAACCAATGAAACCATAGCACCTGTTTCATTGTCCATTTGGTGTTGGTGGTTTAGTCGCTCAGTTGTGTCTGATTCTTTGCAACCCCAGAGACTGCAGCCCACCAGGCTCCTCTGTCCATGGGGTTTCCCAGGCAAGAATACTGGAGTGGGTTGCCATTTCCTTCTCCAAGACATCTTCCTGACCCAGGGCTTGAACTGGGTCTCCTGCATTGCAGGTGGATTCATTACTGACTGAGCCACCAGGTACCCTTGGAACATCGTAATTGTGGAAAAGGATGTGATTTTTCTAGTTCCTGTGATGGCTTTAGGGTGGGTTCTTTGTGCTACAGGTGAGTAGTCCTTTGGGGAGAAAGCATCATAGAGTGTGGACGCAATGCCAGCTTCAACCTCTGGAAACCCAGGGGAAGAAAGGAGACCATTGTTCAAAGAGAGGTGTATTGGATCCTACTGACTGCCAACCCAATCATTATTCCCACATTCTTTCTCGCTAATCCAATCTTGGATTTATTGGGAAGGTTGGAGGTAAAGAAGTTCAGTTCATAAACTGAACTGAACTTAAAGTGATCCTGTGTCTAACTAGTCCTTAAGGAGATGATGCCCTCTCTGAGGCCGAGATTGTAGCAGCCCCTTGCCTTCCAGCTCGGGCTGTCCAAGCCTGCCTCTCTGCCTCCAGGCAGGGAGGGGCCTGTATGCCCTTATGGCAGAAAGTGAAGAAGAACTAAAGAGCCTATTGATGAAAGTGAAAGACAAGAATGAAAAAGTTGGCTTAAAACTCAACATTCAGAAAACTAAGATCATGGCATCTGGTCCCATCACTTCATGGCAAATAGATGGAGAAACAGTGGAAACAGTGACAGACTATTTTCTTGGGCTACAAAATCTCTGCAGATTGTGACTGCAGCCAAATTAAAAGATGCTTGCTCCTTGGCAAAACAGCTATGACCAACCTAGACAGCATATTCAAAAGCAGAAATATTATTTTACTAACAAAGGTCCATCTAGTCAAAGTTATGGTTTTTCCAGTAGTCATGTATGGATGTGAGGATTGGACTATAAAAAAAGCTGAGTGCTGAAGAATTGATGCTTTTGAACTGTGGTGTTGGAGAAGACTCTTGAGAGTCCCTTGAACTGCAAGGAGATCCAACCAGTCAATCCTAAAGGAAATCAGTCCTGAATATTCATTAGAAGGACTGATGCTGAAGCTGAAACTCCAATACTGTAGCCATCTGATGCGAAGAACCGATTCATTGGAAAAGACCCTGATGCTGGGAAAGATTGAAGATGGGAGGAGAAGGGGACGACAGAGGATGAGATGGTTGGATGGCACCATCGACACGATGGACATGAGTTTGAGTAAACTCCAGGAGTTGGTGATGGACAGGGAAGCCTGGCTGCAGTCCCTGGGGTCACAGGAGTCATTCACGACTGAGCCACTGAACTGAACTGAAGGAGATGATGTCGCCCCCTAGAGGACATTTTGGAAATTATGTAGGGAAATTGTTTTTGCTTGTCAATTGGTTCTCAAGGGGACAATATTGCTGCCTTGGGGATGTTTTGGAAATTTTCGTGGTCGTTTGAGGCATCACAATAATGAGGGGGCTGTTACCAGATCTCGAAGGTAGGGGTGGGGATGATAGAATGTTCTGCAACATTAGTTTGTGAATAATGGGAATAACTGTTTATGCTAAGTTATATTAAGCTATCATGCTGAACTTTTCCAGTTCTTTAGGAATTTTGTACATAGCAAAGTCATGGTAGACTCTTGGATATAAACGCATACCAACACTTTTGAAATAAGAAGTGTTTTGGAACTCTGTAGAGGTGGTGATTGCCAGTGGTGGCTGTACTAAATGTCAATGAATTGGTCGCTTTATTTATTTTTTTAATTTGTATTTTAGACTAAACTATGGCTGATTTTGGAGAAGGAAATGGCAGCCCACTCCAGTACTCTTGCCTAGAGAATTCCGTGGACAAAGGAGCCTGGTGGGCTGCTGTCCATGGGGTCGCAAAGAGTTGGACACAACTGAAGCGACTTAGCATGCACGCATGCATTGGAGAAGGAAATGGCAACCCACTCCAGTATTCTTGCCTGGAGAATCCCAGGGACAGAGGAACCTGGTGGGCTGCCATCTATCGGGTCACACAGAGTCAGACACCACTGAAGCGACTTAGCAGCAGCAGCAGCCTAGCTGACCTACAATGTTGTATTAGTTTCAGATTACAACAAAGTGATTCAGTTTTACATATACATTTAAAATTTTTTTTCAAATTCTTTTTCCAATTAGGTTATTGCAGAGTATTAAGCAGAATTCCTTGTGCTACATAATAGATCTTTGTTGATTTTCTATTTTAAATATAGTGGTGTATATATGTTCAGTCCCAAACCTTCAATTTATCCCTCCCCCACCAAATTGGTCTCTTTAAAATGGTTAATTTGGGGTATTCCTTGACAGTTCAAAATATTGTGTTATGTGAATTTCATGTAAGTAACATTTCACTCAGGACACTCCCTAACCAAATGCAAATAAGTATATGCCCTGAATCTTTAAGGTCCATTTCAAGATCAATATATTAACAAATCATTCAAAGCCCCTGGTCTGCTTTTACAACTCAAAAGAGTTTCACTTGGACTTTCCTGGTGGTACAGAGGATAAGAGACCTTGCTCATCTCAACTGGAGAAAGTCCACAAGGAGCAATGAAAACATAGTGCAACCAAAAATCAATAAATTTTAAAAAAGAGTTTCATTCCTTTATTTCCCTATGATCCGTGTCTGTGTGTGTTTAGTCACTCAGTTGTGTCTGACTCTTTGCGACCCCATGGACTGTAGCCTGCCAGGCTCCTCTGTCCATGGGGATTGTCCAGGCAAGAATACTGGAGTTGGTTGCTGTGCCCTCCTCCAGGGGATCTTCCCTACACAGGGATCGAACCCATTTCTCCCGCATGGCAGGTGGATTCTTTGTTCACTTCAATAACACAAGGCAACTCAGCAAAAGTGTTTATTTCCAAAGGCTTATCCGAAAGATACTTGATATAGCCCTTTGCTGCCCAGTCATTCCGTGACTTCTAAATGTCTTTCCTGCACAGAGGTTATTTGATCCTGTCTTTGGCATTTTCCCGATGGAAGTTATTTGATCCTGTCATTGGTATTTTCCCCTTTGATTGGAAAATAGTAACACAGCAGAGTGCAATAGCTTTGAATTTAGAACTTAAAACAAGGTTTAAAAAAAGAAAAAACCCACAGTTTTATTTTGGAAAAATTCAAAGATACACAAAAATAGAGGGAAGAATAACCTGAAAGTCGTGTATACATCATCCAAATTAAACAATTATAATCTCATAGCCAGATAACCAACAAGGATTTACCATATAGCAGAAGACCTATGCTCATCGTTTTGTAATAACCTATAAGGGAAAAGAATCTGAAATAGTTTATGTGTATGTAATAAGTGACACAAAGAACTAATTTACAAAACAAAAAGACACACACACATAGAAAACAAATTTATGGTTACCAAAAGAGAATGAAGAGGAGGGCTAAATTAGGAGTTTGGGATTAACACATACACTGTGGTAAAGAATCTGTCTGCCAGTGCAGGAGACACAAGAGTCTCAGGTTTGACCTCTGGATTGGGAAGATCCCCTGAAGAAGGAAATGGCAACCCATTCCAGTATTCTTGCCTGGAGAACCCCATGGACAGAGAAGCCTGGCAGGCTACAGTCCATGGGGTCACAAAGAGTCAGACATGACTGAGCAGGTGAGTATGCATGCACATAATATAATACAGTACATACATTACATTATACAGACTGATGAATTTACATCTGTACAAAGTGTTACCGGTCAGACTGTGTCTCCAAGAAGGTGTGTTCGAATCTCAATCCCTACTACCTATGAATGTGAGCTTACTTGGAAATAGGATAGGATTCTTTACCACTCTGCCACCTGGGAAGCCCCTTATTATAGTATACTTTTATTAAAACATATTTGTTTAAAAGACTCCATTTATTTGACTCTCATAGTTTCTACTCTAAACAGCAGAAGCTGTGTCTACAGAATGGCTTAGAGAGTGTGATTAAAAGCTATACAGACCCATGAGAGATACCCAGAGCTTAATCCAATGTCATTTTTTAAAATTGAAGTATAGTTGGCTAACAATGTTGTGTTAGTTTCAGGTGCATAGCAAAGTGATTGATTCAGTCATACATGTTCTTCAGAATCTTTTCTTCTACAGATTATTACAAGATGTTGAGTATAGTTCCCTGTACTATACAGGGAGTCCTTGTTGGTTATCTAGTGTATATTCAGTAGCGTGTATATGTTAACCCCAAACTCCTCATTTATCTCTCCATCTGTTGTCTCTTATTTATTTATGGCTGAACCACCAGGCATGTGGGATCTTCCCTAGCCAGGGATTGAATTTGTGCTCCCCTGCAGTGGAAGTGCAGAGTCCTAACCACTGGAGGGCCAGGGAATCCCCCACCCCAATGTCTTTTATCTATTTATTTATTTTATTTTGTATTAGGGTATGGCCGATTAACAATGTTGTGATAGCTTTGGGTGAACAGTGAAGGGACTCAGCCATACACACACCTCCCCCCATGTCTTTTAAATACCCCTAAGAGTTACATGGTTCTAACAGGAAGAGGAGGGAAAGAATTCAGACTAGAATGAAGCAAGACACAGACCTTTGTTCCACAGTCCTCCACACTGACTGCCTTTTAGAATCATCTGGGGAGCATTTGGTAAAAATCCCAAGGTCTCAGCTCCACCCCGAACCAATTAAGCCATCTCTGAAGGTGGGGTTTGGGCACTGTCTTCACTAAAAAGCTCTCCAGACAATCCTAATGTTCAGGTGGGATTGAGAACTGCTGCCTTGGTGAATGGTGAGCAGTCACCTGGGTGGAGGTAATTATGTAATCCTTAAACCCAGGAGCCTGACATATTGAATAACTGCTCTCCTCCCCCTTTAAGTTACTCTGTCACAGTCTGGGCAGCTGTTCTGATGAGGTGTTGCTGAAAAGCAAATTGCCCCATGGGTATCTACCCAAGAGAAATGAAAACTGTGTCTCAAAGAGATATTTGTACACTAGTGTTCACGGCTGCATTATTCACTATAGTCGAAATGGTAGAAACAACCCAAATGTCTACTGATGGATGAATGGATAAGCAAAATGTGGCATGTGCTCACAATGGAATATACTCAGTCTTCAAGAGTCTCTGCCTGCAATGCAGAATTCTCCTGGGTTCAATCCTTGTACTAGCGACTAAGCAATCGCAATGATCACATATTACAATTAACAAATAGATTTACAGGCTTTAAAAAAAAAGTATACACTTGAAACTAATTCAATGTTGTATTATAATTATACCTCAGTTAAAAACAAAACAAAACATTATTTTGCATCTCAATTGATGCTTTGTCCCCTGGGGTCACCATGGATCAGATCAGTCGCCTGACTTCTCTTCCTTTGTCTCCTGTCTACTTGGTTATCACTTCCTCTAAGAGATGTTCCCTAAGCCTACAGTACAAAACACTCCCCCTACAGGTTATCTATTGCCTAGCATGGGGCTGGGCATTGAGGAGTTAGTGGCTTTGTGTTAGTCTCTGTTGTGTCCGACTCTGCGACCCCATGGACCACAGCCCTCCAGGCTCCTCTGTCCATGGGATTCTCCAGGCAAGAATACTGGAGTGGGTTGCTATGCCCTTCTCCAGGGCATCTTCCCCACCCAGCAATCAAACCTGGGTCTCCAACTCTGCAGGTAGAGTCTTCACCATCTGAGCCACCAGGGAAGCAGGCATTGAAGATGTCCTTAGGGAAGTGTAAATGAATGAAACCATCAGAGAGACTAAATTCAGAAAGATGGAGAGTGAGTTCGCATTCTCAGAATACTCTTTCCTGACTCCTACACTAGATCAGCTGGAGAAGGAAATGGCAACCCACTCTAGTATTCTTGCCTAGAGAATCCCATGGACAGAGGAGCCTGGTAGGCTACAGTCCATGGGGTCGCAAAGAGTCGGACACGACTGAGCGACTTCACTCACTTCACACTTTATCCCTGGAGAAGGAAATGGCAACCCACTCCAGTATTCTTGCCTGGAGAATCCCATGGACAGGGGAGCCTGGAGGGCTGTGGTCCATGGAGTTGCAGAGAGTCAGACATGACTGAAGTGACTGAGCAACACTAAATCAGACACCACTGTAGCTCCTTCTTCTTTCCCTTGACAGCACTTCTCAAAGTTTCTGTTTATTTCTATACCACTTTTGGCAGAGAAAGAGAACAGAGTTAGGAAGAGAAAGGAAGCTGGGGTTGGGCAATAACGGAGAGTGTAAGAAGAGAGAGAATTGGGTGGGAGAATATTCAGGCTTTCTAATGCTCTGTAGCAAGTGTCAGCAAACTTGTGCCAAAGGGCTTTCTGGTTCTTAGTTCCCGAACCAGGAATTGAACTCGTGACTCGGCACTGCAAGCTGCCAAGTCTTAACCACTGGACAGTCAGGGAATTCACAGTAAACATTTATTTTACTTACAGCTTAGCACTTTGGGCAGAGCTTGGCAAGAATAGCTTCTCTCTGCTCCCTCTGGGGCGATTTTCTGCCGGAAGATCTCCTTTCAAGATGGCGACTCACATGGCCAGAAAGATGGTGCTGGTTGTTGGCTGGAGCTGTTGGCCTGGCCAAGGGTCAGAAGCTTTAGTCCTTTTCCATGTAAGACTTCTCCATGGGCTGTTTTGGCTTCTACTAGCGTGGAGGCTGGGGTTAAGAGCAAGCATCCCAAGAAACAGATAGTGGAAGTTGACTATTTCCTTTTTAAAAAACAGCTTCACTGAGATAGTCACACACTATGCAATTCACTCATTTAAAGTGTACAATTCAGGGACTTTCCTGATGATCCAGTAGCTAAGATTCTGCACTCCCAATGCAAGAGGCCAGAGTTCAATCCCTGGTCAGGGAACTAGATCCCGCATGCCACAATTAAGACCTGATGCAGCCAAATAAATAAATAAATATTAAAAAAAAATAAAAGTGTACAATTCAGTCTCTTTGGGTATATTACATTATTAAATTTTAAAAATTTTAGTCATTTTTATTTTAAAATCATTTTCAAATGTACAATTCAATGAATTAAGTACATTAAGTGACAGGCAATCACCACCACTGCCTAGTTCTTCTTTCATCACCTTTTGTACCTGAGTTCTTTCACTTAGCATAATATTCTCAAGATTCATCCAAGTTATGGCCTGTATCAGCGCTTCATCCTTTTTATGGGTGAATGTTTTTTCATTGTATTGTTTTACCACATTTTGTTTATCCACTCATCACGTGA